TGTGTGTGTGTGTGTGTGTGTGTGTGTGTGTGTGTGTGTGTGTGTGTAGCCTGAGTGGCTGAGAGAATGCTGGTTCCCTCAACAGTAAAAGCCTGGATGAGGGTTATGTTTCTGGGCAAAGAGAATTGGTTTGATCTTCAGTTTAGGATGTTTATGGGATATTGAGTTTAAAATGCCCAGTCAGCAATTGGTGATCAGGAGCTGAATGGAACCCAGAAGCTGGATGGAGCCCACTCAGGCAGGATATGTGAGTCATTGATGTAAGGATGATAATTGAATCCATAGGAGCTGATGAGATTGCCAAGAGAGAAAAGGGAAGAGGACCCATCATGGACTCTGAGAGCCACCCATTAGACTGTGAACTCCCTGAAGGCAAGGGCCATCCTTCGCCTTTCTTTATATACCCAGTGTTTAGTATGGTGCCTGGCACATTGTGGGTATTTAATAAATGTTCGTGAGTGACCAACCAGCAACAGAAACTAAAGAAAGGTAGGACAGTTGAAGGAGAACTATGGGGGAGGTGGAAATGTCACCAAAATCCAAGGAGGAGGGCATATTTGGGAGGAAAGGGTGGTAAGCACAGTCAGATGCTACGAAGAGATAAAAAGGGAAAATCACTTTAATGATTATTCCTTATAGCCTATATTTGATGAGACTGGTGGTTTTGGGGACCATTCTGTCCCAGATTAACCAGCTCTGACTTAATTCAAACTACCCTGTTGGGAAATTTCTCTTCTCATTCCAAGAGGATGCTTTAGGAAGTCAGATTCATTTCTGGCACCCTTATGGCATGGAACTTTGGATGTCAGGACTGAGCTTTAGGGAACATGGCCAAGCATGGGCCAGAGACCTCTGTCATCCTGCAAAGAACAGGTGTTCATTGGTCCTGTGCAGGCCTGTGTCTTTTGGGATAAGAAGCGGTTACTTAAGGTCAGTAGTGGTGGTTACAAGTCATAAGGAGACACACACACACACATACACATGGAAACACACAGAAATACACATGGAAGCACACACATAATCTAACTTGATCTTGAAACATGGAATGCTGCTTCATCACAAGGTTTGTTTGAGAACAGCTCTCATCACATCTCCCTGAGAGGGGGGAGCAGAGAGGCTCCTGAGGACTGGAATGAGTGAGGGCAATCCCCAGGGAGCTGCTGCCCAGGAGCTTCCACAGATGCCAGGTGGGCACAGCTGGCTGCCTGGCCCTTCGGGGTTGATTTTCATATTCAAAGTCCTCTCAGACCTAATCTGTATCAGGCGCCACAATCTGATAGGCTCAGTTATCCACATCCAGAGGATCATGGAGAATTGCCCTGCATTCATCTGGTTTATCCCTCATAGATAATTTTATATGGACATGTTGTTTCCCTCCCTCCAGAGACATGTGCCCTGCCCTTTCTGCCCCCCACCCTTACCCCCAGGTAAGCTCCTTGAAGGTAAAGACTTTCAAATTTGTCATTATAGCCCCCTACTTGGCACCTAGGTAGAGATAGGGGCCAGATCTGTGATTTTTGAGGCTACAGGGAACTCCCAAGTAAGGAAACTCCCTCTGCCAGTACTGATTAGTACTTCCTCTACCACAATTCTTTGCCTAGATAATTGTCTAGAGCCAGTGGTTCAAAGGTGGGACTTGAACCCAGGATTTCCTGATTTTAAAGGCCAGCGCTCACTATTCCAAGCAGCCCAGAACATACTGCTTTGACTACTACTACCTCTACTACTACTACTACTACTACTACTTTTTTTTTTTTGGGTGAAGTAGTTGGGTTAAGTGACTTACCCAGAGTCACACAGCTAGTGAATGTTATATGTCTGAGGCCGAATTTGAACTCAGGTCCTCTTGACTCCCAGGCCAGTGCTCTATCCACTGTACCACCTAGCTGCCCCTACTCCTACTACTTCTACTGCTGCCACCACCACCACCAATAATGATCATGATAATAATAATAATAATAATAGTAATGATAATAATAATAGCAACAATAGCATTTATATAGCCTTTCAGGTTTGCAGAGTACCTTATTATCTCGTTTGACCCTCACAATACCATGTGAGGTAGGTGCTACTATTATTCCTGTTTTACAGATGAAGTAACATAGGCTAGGTTTCTTTCTTGGTGACATCAGCTCCCGTGGTGTTTAACTGTCAGCTCTGTGCAGATGATAGGAAGATTGGATAGAAAGACAGACTGAGTTTCTCTAGTGTCTCTTTGGAATCTCAGATCCTAGGTCATGCAGAGTAATTAGGAATATCGAAGATGAGCTGGGCCCTCCTGACGAGGTTGCTAGAGGCTATGACCCAGCAGTCCACCCTGGTGGGGAAGCTCTGGCCATCTGTCCTGGTAGTGTTCCTCCTGGCTCCTGGCCATGGGCAGGGAGACCATTTACCGGGATGAGCTAAGTGGCTTCTCCTGCAACACAGCACAGCCAGGCTGCCAAAATGTTTGCTACGACGCCTTCGCACCCCTCTCCCACGTACGCTTCTGGGTGTTTCAGATCATCCTGGTCACTGCACCCACCGTGTTCTATCTGGGCTGTGCCGTGCACCATTTGTCCCGGCTCCAGATAACCCAGGAACAAGAGGAGGAAGAGAGGGAGCCCACGATCAAAGAGAAGTCCAGGTGGTCCCCTGAGGATGGAGCCCATGATGGTCTCAGGAGGATCCACAGGGACAGCCTCCTGGGAGCCTATGTTGGGCAGTTGCTGATCCAATCTGCCTCAGAGGTGGCCTTCCTACTGGGCCAGTATCTGCTCTATGGCCTGGAAATGCCTCCTTCCTATATCTGCCAGCGCAGCCCTTGCCCCTACATTGTGGACTGCTTTGTATCTCGTCCTACAGAGAAGCCTATCTTCCTGCTGGTCATGCATGCAGTCAGTGGCCTCTGTCTCCTGCTCAAGCTGATTGAGTTGCTGCACCTGGGCCTGGGAAGCGTGAAGGAGGGTAAAAGCCACCCTGCCCCAACTCCTCATTCCAAGAGTCTCCAGCTGAAGCAAATGCAAAAACAGTTGCATCTGGTCCAGGAGCACCTGGACTTGGCGTTGCATTTAAGCACACCTTTGACCAGGGCGCCTGCCTCTTCAGGCCAGTCTCCATCCTATAGCACATACCCTCAGCAAAACCTGCCCAACCAAGCCCAAAAAGAGGTACCATTGTCTAAGACAGATCTGTAAAAACTGGATTTACAATTGTTTACAGACTTTGATCTGAACTTGATTTTGGGAAGACAAGAGAACTTGGTATCTGGACTCTGTAAGCGGAAACCTGGAAATGTATCTAAAGGAAATGGTGTTTTGTTCAGTACTTTATATATTAATTAGCTATTTTGTGACTGTGATCGTAGGTGGTCCCTTCTATAGTTCCCCAGGACCTGAAATCTGTCCCAATCCAATGCCCGCCTTTCCGTCAAACAACACCAGATAATTTAATGAGATAAATGGGCTATCTGGTATAATGGTCTTGGAAATAATTCTGAGAATTGGGCCCACAATGGTCACAGAAAAGTCTGCAGGGATGGGTTCGGGTGGGGCACCTTGATTTGGGGCAGTTGTTAGTGTTGTTATCTTAAGAGATTTCCTTCTGCAACTTGTCCTATAACTAGATGTCTTTTGGTACTTGAGTCCATAAGTTTTGTGGATCAATAAACAGCTATTTGTATTAAAAAAAAAAAAAGACAGACTGATAGATTAGACAGGCTCATCAATAGATTAGATAAACAGACAGGTAGACCCCATCCAGTCTCTTCTCTGAGCTTTTTTACTCTGTATCCCAATTTGTCTGTTGGACATTTCTCTGCACATTCTAGGCAATCTTAAGCTCAGTATATCTCAAACTGAATTCATCCTTCCCCCCTTAAGCCCTCCCTCTTCCACTGTCCAAGTCATCACCGTCTTCCACGCTCCCAGCTGTATCCTTGACACTATCCTCCACTCCCCTGTCACCCCATAGATCCCATCCGTTGCCAAATCTTTCCCTTTCCACCTTAACCTGATCCCCTGCATCTTGCCCCTCTCCCTACTCTTACGTCCACCACCTTCATTCAGGCCCCCATCCTCCTTTTCATCGGTGTTCCTGCCCCGTCTCTCATCACTCCAGTGACTAGAGTCTAGTCCAGTGGTGGGGAGCCTGTGGCCCTCTAGGTCCTCAAGTGCGGCCCCTTGACTGAATCCAAACTTCACAGAACAAATCCCCTGAGTAAAAGGGTTGGTTCTGTCAAACTTGGACCCAGTCAAAAGGTGGCACCTGAGGACCTAGAAGGCCACATGTGGCCACAGGTTCCCCACCCCTGCTCCTCCAAGCAGGAGCCAGAGCGATTTTCCTTCAGCTCAGATCAGACTGCACCTCTCCCCTCCTCTGCTAACCCCAGTGGCTTCTTACGACCTCTAGGATCACAATTCCACACTTTTCTGTTTAGCGTTTAAAGCCCTTCGCAGTTTGGCCCCAGCCTGTTATTTAGGTGCCATCGCTCTTCTCCTGCGCTTAGTGATTGAGCCAATCTGGCCTCTGTTTCTCACCCTGTGCACTCCCTCTCCCATCTCCAGGCACATTCCTTCCTCCCCTGCCCTCCACAGGGTCCCTCTCCTCCTCTAAGACGAAGCTCAAGCACCATCTTCTCCAGGAAGCTTTTCCTAATCTCCCCAACTGCTAATTAGACCCTCTTTCCCAAACTACTGGGCTTACATTTGTGTTTATCAACTGTCTCTCTCGGCTGTGTGTGTTTTTATATATTGCTGTTGCCACCATTAATATGTAAACCCCTTACAAGTAGGGATTGTTTCACACTTTGTACTTCTATCCCAGCACTTATAACAGAGCCTGGCACACAGTAGGCACTTAATTAATGTTTATCGATTACGTGATTGAAAATGTTTATTGATCAATGTCCACAGTGGTGCCTGGCACATAACAGACACTTTGTTAGTGTTTGTGATCGATTGAAAATGTTGACTGATCAGTGCCTAGTGCAATGCCTGGCACATAATACACACAGGTGTAGGGGCAAAGAATGAGCTCATAGTGCCATGAGAAGCCACTCTCACTTGGGGAAGATTTCTTCAAGGAAATGGCATCCAATTTGGCTTCGAAGAAAGTAAGGAACTTCACAGGGCTGGGATTGGGCAGGCAAATGAGGGGAGTTCATTGTAGGCATGGGGGTGTGGCATGAGCAGAACTATGGAGATGAGAGAAGGGGGCAGAAGAAGAGCTGACCTTTCAGACAATCCCATTGTGGTTGGGACTCATGGTATATGAGATGAGGCTGAAATGAGGGCTGGAGCTGTATGGTGGAGGGCCTTGAATGCCAGGATCCGGAATTTTTACTTTATTTAGTTGACATTGGGAAGCACTTGAAGGTTTTTTTGAGTAGAGAAATGCTCTAGTCAGAGCCATGTGTTAGGAAAATTTCTCAGGCAGCACTACTAAAGAGGGATTAAAAGCAGGGAGATTAGAGGCTGGAAGACCAGATAGTTGGCTTTACAATTGAATTGAGAAGAGATGAGGCCCTGTGTTAGGGAGGGTTGTAGTGAGAGTGGAGAGGAGGGGAGGGATGGAAAAGCCTGAGGAGGAGATCCTGGGGAGAATCAAGGATTTGGCACCTGACTGGGTGTGAAGGGTGAAGGGTAAAGGAGGGGATGGAATCCAACAGGATTCAGGAATTGATACAATACAGATTGTCCTAGATCCCATTTGGTTCCCATAATTTGTTAGCCCATCTCAGAACCATCCTTTTGAGCGGTGGCGATAACTAATGTTTTACATGCTGTGGGGAAATGATAAGCGTTGTGTACATTATTCAGAGGTTGGAGTTTTCTTTCATCTTTGGTCTGAATATGATCTCAACTTTTTTTTTTTCATTTGTTTTATAGCGGAAACGGAAGCAGAGTACTCAAGATGAGGACGCCGTCAGCCTGTGTAGTCTGGATGCAAGTGTAAGTCTTATTTTTTACTTCTCTGGGACGTCTGTGGATTGAGTTCCCAGGGCCTGCTCCCTGACTAAGGTTCGAGAAATCCGAATTTTAAAACCTGCCTCAGGTTGTGGCAGAGAGAGGCCGCCGATGGTGAGGACTTGCGTGTTTGCACTTCTAAAATGAGTCACAAGCTCAGGCCTTCGGAATGTGGTGAGCTTGAAATCAACACAGCCAGAGTGTGGCTGCCCCAGTGATGCCAAACTGACTGGTTTGCATTTGATTATTTTTTTTAAACATGTGTTTTTAAAACTCTGGGTTCCAAATTTTCTCTCTTCCTCCCTCCCTACCCACCCTCATTGAAAAGGCAAGCATCTCGGTACAGGTTATATATGTGTAGTCATGCAAAACACTTCCACAGTAATCCTGTTGTGAAAAACTAAGTATATTTCCCTTCATCCTTTGCTACCCCCCTTTTATTCTAGTCTCTCTTTTGACCCTGTCCCTCCTCAGAAGTGTTTGCTTCTGATTATCCCCTCCCCCAATCTGCCCTCCCCTCTATCAACCCCCTGCTCTCTTGTCCCCTTCCTCGATTTTTTTCCTGTAGCGTAAGATAGATTTCCATACCCCATTGTGTATGTTATTCCCTCCTTAAGTCAAATCCTATGAGAATAGGATTCACTCATTCCCTCTCACCTTCCCCATTTCCCTTCCACTGTAAGAGCCTTTTCTTGTCTGTTTCATGTGAGATATTTTACCTCATTCTACTTCTCCCTTTCTCCTTCTCCTTGTATAATCCTCTCACCCCTTAATTTTATTTTCCAGATGTCACCCCTTCATCTTCAACTCACCCTGTGCCCTCTATCTCTCTATCTATACATACATATAAATTTTTTCCCTTCCACTACCCTAATACTGACAAAGAACTCATGAGTTACAAATATCATCTTTCCCTGCAGGAATGTAAACAGTTCAACCTTAATATGTCTCTTATGATTTCTCTTTCCTATTTACCTCTTCCATGTTTCACTTGAGTCATGTATTTGAAAGTCAGCTTTTATATTCAGCTCTGGTCTTTTCCTCAGGAATGCTTGAAAGTCCCCTATTTCATTGAATGACTATTTTTTATCCTGAAGGATTATACTCAGCTTTGTGGGGTAGGTGTCGTTTGATTCTTAAACCTATGCTTCTGCTGGGCCAGGCGTGGGCCAAGGTATCTCTGGGCCCAGTGATTAAGGAAAAAGCACTCAGGGCATGTGGGGGACATCTCCCGGCTCTTTGGGTCCAGCTTCTTTCAAGCGCGTTGGTATCACTGCTAGCAGTTGGGTAATTTTATCTGGGACTTGAGGACTGACTTTGTCATGATGTGATTTAACAAGCCTTCAATCTCAGTTCAATTCAATGAACATTGATTTAGTGCCTACTGTGTGCTAGGCACCGTGCTAAACACTGGGAATGCAGAAAGAGGCAAAGGAAAGTCCCTGCCCTTGAGGAACTTACAATCTGCCCCCTCTCCAGTCCATCCTCCACACAGCTGCAGAACTGATCCTCCTGAGGCAGATGTCTGCATGTCACTGCTGCTCACAAACCCTCTGTAGCTCCCCTCTTCCTCTAGGCAGAGATCCATACTTGTTAGGCAGACCTTCCATGTTCCCACCTGCTCCCTGCCTCCCCAACCTCATCTCTCACACAGCTCCCCACTCATTTTGATTGCCTTCCACTCACACCAGACTGTCAGCTGATCTCTGCTCTCAGCCCACCCCCTCCTGCATCCGTGCATTATCTCGCACTAATAATAATGATAATGATGATGAAGTTATTTCCATTAAATGTATTTTATTGGTATCATTTCTTTTCACATTGCCTCAATTTCCCTTGTATCCCTTCCTTTCTCCCCTCACAGAGAGCCACCCTATATAATAAAGAATATTTTTAAAAGAGAAAAAACAATAGGCCAAACCAATCAATACATTGAAAAAAAAATCTGAGAATCTGTGGAATGTTCCACACCCATGGAATATGAACAGCTCAAGTGTTTGTGTGTGTGTGTGTGTGGGTGTGGGGGGGGGGGGGGGGGGAGCGGTTTAAAGTTTGTAACATTCTTTACATATGGATTTCCTTTGATTTGATCCTCACTACAGCCCTAGGAGACAGGTGCTATTATTTTCCCCATTTTACAGAAGAAAAAACTGAGGCCAAGAAACGTTAAGTGACTTGCCCAAGGTCATGTAACAGGAGATTCAGGTTTTCATGTTACTCTCTGCTGGTAAACAGCTGTGGGCTAGTCACTTGCCTGCTGCGGACTTCAGTGTTCTCATCTGTTTATCTAGATGAAGTTCTTACCCCACCCTTCCTCCAGCACGATTGGGACACTTAATTCAGTTACGCAAGCATTTGTTAAGCTTCCACTATATGAAAGGCCTGTGCCAAATGCTAGAGCTGCCGAAGCAAAAATGAAAAGGGGTCCTGTCCTCAAGAAGCTTATGTTCTATACTGGAATTCGGTGGATAGCCTCCTAACTTAATTCATTGGTACACATGTCTTGGAAACTGACTACAGGAAGGGAGTGAGCATAGCTTAGAATTGATGGGGTTACAGAGGAGGTATGGGCAAGAGAGTCCTGCTGGCCACGTGACCTTGAGCAGGTCACATACAGGTGACAGGATGAGTGTGGCCTCTCAGAGTAGAGAGAAGGGGGAGGATGGGAGAGACAGAAGCTGGACAGAGCTTGCCGAACACCTGTGGCGTGGTGGAGAAGGAGTAGTCACGAGTGACTCAGAGGTTGTGGATCTGGGGGATTGGGAAGATGGCGGTTCCCTTGGCCAAAGCATCGGGAAGTTGGGAGCAAGGCCAGATTTAGAAAGGAAGGTGAGTTCTGTTATCGACACCTTGAATTTGAGAGACGGGAATTCGGCAGGAGAGATTAGGCTGAAAATATAGATCCCAGAGCCATTGAGAGCAGAGACAGAGAACCCAGGTTCAAATTCTACCTCTGCCACTCGGTGTCTGTGGAATCTTGGGCAAGTGGCCAAACCTCCCCGAGCCTCAGTTTGCTCCTGTGCAAAATGAGAAGATTGCACCAGACGGCCTCTAAGACCTCAATTCCAGGTCTGAACTGATGGTCCTATGACAGTGAAGGAGAGATAGCAGAACTCACAGGAGAGCAGAAAACCACCAGGGTTACTATAAGAAGAAAAAAAAACAACTCATCCAATTGTCCGATGAAACTGCCTTCTTATAATAGTAGTGACTGACATTTACAGAAGGCTTTAAAGCTGGCCAAGTGCTTTACATGTGTAACTGAGTTTCAGCCTCACAAATACCTTGTGAACTAGGTACTGTAGCTATTATTATCCCCATTTTATAGATGAGAAAACTGAGGCATAGAAAGGCAGAAGGGTCATGTGGCTCATGAGTGTTGGAGGTAGGACTTAAACCCAGGTCTTCCTGTTCAAACATCACTGGGGAGGCGAATGTGAGAAAATTTAACCAATTTCCTCACCCACTTCACAGCTGAAAATGTTTTCAGTGTTTCTGCTGTTTAGGTTTCCTGGCACGGTGAGTAGATTGCAACAGTGTTTAGAGAAAGCGTGCCTCTTTCAGAGAGAATCTGTCACATAAAAAGTATTTCTGCTGCAGTCAGTGACTAATACCCCACTCACATTCGAAGGGAACTTTGTACGTTTGTCTATGCATCATCTCATTCGGAATTCACAATAAGCTTGCAGGGAAGCCTGGGTGGCCCTTATTTCCCCCATTTTCACATTCTGTGATAGCAGTAAATCGATACACCTTTCTGTTTTTTCTTTTATTTTGCAAGACAAGCAGTGTTAAGTGACTTGCCCAGGGTCACACAGCTAGTAAGTGTCACGTGTCTGAGGCCAAATTTGAACTCAAGTCCTCCTGACTCCAGGGCTGGTGCTCTATCCACTGTACCACCTAACTGCCCCTTGATACACATTTCTGTCCAGTGTTTCTGGACTTGTGTTTTCAAGGAAAGCTGTCTGTGACTTTGTCCAGAAGCCCGACTGAGGAGTGGCCTTTTGCCCACAGTGGTTAAGTGACTTGAGGTGGGATTTGAACCTTGACCCTACTGACTCTGAATTCATTCTTCCGTCCATCAACCCCATTGCCTGAGCAGTGGTATCACAAGAGACAGGAGAATCATTTCTAAAAGAGCTCTCCTTCTGGCCTCAGACCATTGTCTAATTAGAGCAAAGGTCAGAATTGGGACCTTTGTTAAAAGAAATATTAATTTTTTGTTTCAATTAATCTAATTATTATTTAATTATTAATATTAAATATTAACTAGTTAAATTAAAATATTAAAATAAATAATAAAGGATAGTACTATATTAAATGAAAGGACCAAGATGATGTGAAAACTCCATGCAATGCTTGTTGTAACAGCCTCACACTTTTGATTAAAAAATGTGAAAAAGATAAAAGAAAACCATGGGCACAGACTGTCAGCATTTATTTTAGACCAAGCGTTATAAAGCTTAGCACCGTGCCTGCCACACAGGAGGCTCTTATTAAACATTTGTTGATTGATTGGTCTTAACCTAGGGGCTATGAACCTGCCTTTTAAAATGTTTTGATAACTGTATTTCACTGCAACTGGTTTCTTTTGTAGTCCTATGTATTTTATGCATTTAAAAAAAGCATGATTCAGAGGAAGGGTCCATAGGCTTCACCAGACTGCCGTAGAAGTCCATGGCACGAAACAGGTCAAGAACTCTGGGTTTAGAAATTTAACTAATATAAAGTAATCCCCATTGTGAGGAGGCCAGAGAGCCCTTCAAAATCCCTCTGCTGGGCAAGACTCATTGCTCTCGATATTGGGGATATGAAGAAAGGCAAAAACATAGTCCCTGATCTCAAGGAGCTTACATTCTAACGGGGAAGTCAACATGCAAACAGCTATGTACATGCCAGATATAAACAATGTAGTAATAATAATTAGCATTTATATAAAACTTTAAGTTTCACAGAACACTTCATATATTATCTCATTTAATCCA